CGGTACGTATTTGGAAATATGTTTTTTTTATTTATATCAAATGGCAGGCGTTGTGAAAGTTATCATTAGCCCTTTAGTTGACTTCAGGCTTCACAGAGGAGGAGGAACATCAAAGTGAAACAAGTCGAGAGGGAGAGGGGGTACAGAAGAGAGTTTTAAAGATGTAAAAGACAGACACAAAAGTGGAAAAAGGTGAGGTGAGTACCGTGAAAGTAGTCGAATATGACATACAATGGTGTGAGGGTAGTTTGAAGTCAGAAGTCAACTGCCAGTCATTAGAATTTTTTGCCGTATGAGTATACGTTGCCCAGAGTGCACCACGTGGAGGTAAGTCTATCGCACACCCCTGGAAATATGTTGTTGTTTGGTAATAAGAAGTTTAATATACCCAACCTATGCAAACTTTTAACAGTCTCGGTTAACGAAGTAGCAAAGAAGTGTACGTATACAGTAGAGTAAATAGGCATTAATGGAAATTGCGGTAGTATGGTCTACTAGAGAGTAAGTGTATTAACGGTAGGCAGAAATATCAGGCTTTAAACCTTGGACAAGTTCTCAGAGTGAAGATGGAATATAAATAAAAGTGGAGTTGTAAACTTACCTACCAAGATTAGGTCCATTATTCATTAGACGATATCTCATGATTTATGTGGAAGGTGGGTGACTGTCCCAGATATTTTGAAAAATAAGTCTAAGGGAAGCCCGGCCTGAAAGTAAATGAAATCTAATAACTCTGAGCTCAGATGAAGTGGGGTTTTTTTCTCCCTTCAACTCTCAACTCTACAGCTTAAATACTCCCTGTCAAAAATGAAAATTTACTCTCTTCATAGCCTTTAAATCAATACATACTTGTATGCCAGTCTAGAAGGAAAACCTGGAAGGCCCTGAATTTGGAGATAAAAAAAACCATTATATAATAGAGAGATATCTCCATCTTTAATAATCCTTCTCTTAAAATCAGATGTTGTCTCACTTAACTCTCAATCTAAATAATAAAGTGAATTGATTATTTCGCAAGTAAAATTAAACTTCAGGATGGCGTCTTGCAATGTGTTTATTCAAATGAAATATGGTCTTGATATATCAAGCGAGCTTAAAGTGTTAACTGCTGCTATTGACGAACGATAATTTTATGTGCAATCATAGAGTGAAAGAATGTATTATAATAATGCTAAGGGTTTATAAATTAATTAATTTGCTCGGAGAATAGTGGTGTATTAGGTTATTGATTATTGCTCAATACTAATTAGTTCTATCAACTAGTTGAGTATTATAGACCATGTGACGTTTAAAACAGGTTTCAAATCTATATTGCCAATGTTTAAAACAAATAACATTGTCTAAGAATAATTTCGCACAGCTTCACCGGAAATTGCTTTTTGTATTTCCATTAAGTAAATAATTTTTAATGTTTTGAATTACATTTAGTTGTAATAAGTGTTAAAAATGAATATTTCTCACACCTTCTGTGTTACATGTTCTCCTTTTAGTGCGGTTCACCATTGTGAAGTTCATCTTTCATGACCTTGTGGTTAAATTATTCGAAATATTTCATTGTGTCCTATAAAAAATGAATATCATTGAACAAGTTAATTACCAGACCAATTAATAAAGGTGATAATAACACTGGATTATGGAAGATGGAAGATGAGGTTAAGTAAATCTGAGGAAAATATCTCATTCTACCACACGTCTTATTGGCCTAACTGCGACGATTGGCTACTATAGCATTGTCTATACGTCGAAAAGCACGAACATCCTGACCTTTGCTCAGGTAGACACATAACTCCTAAGATCGATTTGAATAAAAGATTCATTGTGAGACAAGGGGGAAAATCATGTATCCTTTTCTGTTAGGATGTCGAATTCTTTTAATTTTATTAACCAGGCTAAGTCAGTGTGTTTGACTATATATCTCACGGAATGCATACTGGTCCGTAAGCTCAATCCTCTTACAGAAGCAAGTTATTCTAGCACCAATGAATTCCCATTACTCAAATTGCATTGAATTACTAACGTGCAGAAAAGTACTGCATTGTTAGTATTCATCTTTATATTACTTGGCTAATATTTTGCTAAAGTTTGTTTAAACTAGCAGTTATACACGTGTGTTCTTTAGTATTTATTGATTGCGGTCCAAACTATTATTTTTTGACCTTTTTAAGCGAATAAGGAGAGTTAGCCACTTTCGTAAAAATTACCTGTCTGTTCTAACTTTTACGTTGTTTCTGACGTTTAATCTGTAAAACTCACTCTTAATCAAGTTTGTGGGTTAAACGGTTTCCATCTAACCACAATGAAAAGCATTCGCAACACCTAATTTTGATAAAAGAGAGGCATTTAGATTTGATCATTCCACTTACCAAACAATGATGAACAGTGTCCGTTTAGCCTTTGATTTACATGTCATACTATTTGATCACTCACCGCATATCGTTATTGATTACTGATGATATTGATTTAAATTTATTGAAAAGGATAGGTAGTTGTCCAACCATTAATCAACTAGAGTGAAGTTCATAAAAGCAAGGAAAGGTTTAAGGACACGATTGAAATAGGACAATAATCCCATGGGAAGTGCAAAAAGGCACATTGGGGTCAACTTGGGTGATTAAGCATACGAATAGCACGCAGATAAAATTGGTTTTACGATTTACATTATTTGAATTCATGAAGACCTCGATAAATGGACACAGCTTAATAGATCTCAATGAAGAGACAATAAATCAATAATTCGTCACTGCTGAGTAAAAAAAGAGACAAGAATGGAAAGAACTTTGTGTCTAGCGTTGGACACTCCAAAATAACAAAAAAGGCTATAAAAATAGGAAGCCGTTCGTAATGTTTCTGGACAACTTGTCCTCACTAAATATTTTTTTAATGTCAGCTTGAGCCAGCCTGAATAACGGGTTTATGAATATTTCAGAAACCGAAAAACAGGTATCTTATAGAGAGACCTCGTATGCACTATCTCCAAGGATGCTTCGAAAGATTACCTACGGAAGCCTGCAAAACATCGTCCGAGCTCAGGAATTGGAACGCAAAGGCGCTATCGAAGTAAACGATCTTCTTGGAGACAGTGATTCGGTAAGGTTATTATTATTATTTAATATGTTGTGTAAATTGAAATTGAGGTAATTTAAAAATTTACATTAATAATAATAGTTGAATCAAGACCAATTGCGAAATCGAGCAAGTAGTACACCTCGTGAAGTTTTTCCACCAGCCATTCCTCGTTCTGCGACAATTTCAGCTGGGTCCACCGCAATCATATCTAAGTCTCGACTCTTAGGTAGAAAAGAGTCCTCCGATAAAACCCATACCCAAATCCCCTCAGAGTCCACACCTGCTCTTCAACGATTCTTCTCCCTCAAGAGTCTTTCAGAGAGTCTACCCATGCTCATCTCTAGACCCTCCTCAGGGCTTGCTCGTCGATCGATTGATGCGAACAGAGATGTGGGCAATGGAGACGTGGTGCCACTTCCTCCACCTCAACCTCGCAGGGCTATTACTCGTATTGACCCAAAGATGCTGGACGAACTAATCACTTGGAAGAACATGGAAATTGCCACGGTACAGAATATTCTCAAAGCGAATTTGCAGAAAGCGAAGGATTCTGTGATTTGTAAGAAATCGAGGAAGGCCTATCGAGATAGTGCACAGGAGAATCAAAAAACGGTGAGCGTGAATGATAATTTGCACATTTTTAATTTTGTTTTGTTGAATCTTTTCTAACACATGATGAGAAAACAACTGGAGATTTTAGTGCTGCTCTGGAGACTGAATACTAGCTTTCAATCAAAATTTCGCTTAAAATAAAACACGGATTAAAGAGAGAATATATGTTTGCTTTATTTTAAAGTAGAAATAGGAATGATATTTATATCAAATAATGGAATATTTAAGCAAAATTTTTATTAAAAGCGTTTGCATAATAACTTGATGCTAAATATGCCCGATTTTATCAATTTGACTCCTCTTTCATTACTACTCTTTTAGCTAAGAGTGGTAAAATCGATAATATTGGAATTGTGAACAAGTTTCAATAAGTTGAAAATCGATATAACTAATCTACGCACCTTCATTTAGTGATGGAGCATGTGAATGAAAATCGGCAAAAAACACAGCTAAGAAGGTAAGACAACCAGATACACGCCTCCCAGTAAAAAAATTGAATTCAATTTCGAGTCAATAAAGGAAAATTCTCACAACAATGATCAGACTTATCTTAGATGTCTACAGGACATAAAAGTCCAGCGCAAACAACTCACCTCACAAATAGCGCATTTTTTCGTTTCTTTAATTTTAGTATTGAGATAATCGAATAACACGAAAAAAAGTGAATTTCCCTAATTAGAATTAGGAAGCCTATGTATTGGGCAGTGAAATTTGAAGTGAATTAACTTTTTCTTTAGGCAACATTGCAAATGACTTCTTATTTCATTTCTTCCTTGTCTTAGCATAAATTTGAAGTTTATCCCTAGTTATGGGGAGATCTTGCTTCCCTTGTAATATCATACAATTTGATTTATGCTCCCTTCTTCCACTCCCCCCCCTTTTTGGGCTCAACCTTTAAACCACCATTGTGAAAATTGCCATAACTCTGATGCTCTGCGTTGGTTTAGGCCCTTTCGGTGCCATTCTTTTGACAAAGAAGTGTAAACTAAAGGTGAAAAAAATTTTACCTGGTCCGTTACTGACACCCCATGCGTTGCATTTTTGTAACAAATTCCAGGTGAAATAGCATTTTTGTTTTTGAAATATTGTTGGTAATTTCTAGTCACTAATGAGTTAATTTAATAAGGATGGGTGGTTCGGAGGTTTCTGACGATGTAGATCAATACAACAATTAGATCAAAGGAAGGTTATATATTCAGAATAAAGTATTAGTGCATCAATGATTTAATTTGAGTTCACCAATATATCATTCGAGTGTAATATTGACAGTAATGTCAAGAGACATATATCATCGTGGCACAACCATACATTCAGCCTCCGAACACTGTGGAGATTTAGGAAACTGATGAAAGCTAGAGCGTCCATTCCTTATTGTATATAAGAGAATGAAGACGATGAATTTCGAAATATAATGAACTAAAACTTTTTCGACTTCCTGCATTATTCTTTACATCTCTTCGATATTCCCTCAAATTATGGCTTAGGATTTTCTTTATTCTGCATGTGTTCCGAGGCCTTCAATTGCTACAAAACTTTTTGGGCGAAGTAGCGACTGAAACGCACCATTTTGATGGTTGAATTCGCCGTAGTTGCTCTTAGGATTCCACACCATGGGGGAGGAAACTTTAACTTTCTACTCCCGTATCAAGGACCTCCAAACTCAATTAGGCTTAAAAAGGTCAAAATGTTTGATAGGACAGCAAAATACATAAGCGGAATCAAACTGCTAATCAACTGTCAATATGCAGAATTTAAATGACAAGAAAAAAATCATTACGCAAAATAAATACGGTAATAAAATGTAGGTGGTCGCAAGGCCACTGCAGCAGCATTGACCAATGAGGCTGACGTAAATAGAGGCTTCTATTTAAACAGATTAATCGATCATTACTTCAAGACCAATTGCCCCCCCCCCCAGAATTTGTTTAAATAGTCGTGAATAGTGCCTGTGACTGATATGGCATTATTAACAAACGATAAACAGAAGTAATTTAAAATATGTCTAAAATCTAATCTTTTAGCCTCTTTTGCTTTAATTTGGGTAGTAAGAAGAGAGATTTCATACAGGAAATAAGGAAGATGTCTTAAAGAGGGCTTGGATAAATGCATTTTCCTTTGGAATTAACAACTATCAATGTGTTGATAGGTTATTAATTTGACTAGCAAGTAAGCCTATTTGCATATAATTTTACACCTGAAACAAATTTAAAAGAAAAATATTGCATTTCCCATTTCTCTTTCTTTTATAGCTATTAAGACTTTATCGTGAGAACGAGGAGCTAAAGGAAGCTCGCCAGTCGGCACTGGCATCACGATCACAATCAGTTGGACGTTTTGAGAAATCCACCACCCATCCACAAGCACCACCTACTCTCTGTTGTACATCTCCTTCTCCATTAACACCACCATCAGAAGTGTTCCCAAATCATCTCCATAACCACCCCCAAAAGCGCTCACTAAGCATAGGTGAAGATGCCATCAGTGATACCTCAAGTTTCCATGCCGATGAACAATCAACAGATTCTTCCAACTCCAAGTTAGTCTATTTAAATACTTCATTAGAACCGAAGCTTTTAATATAAAGCATGTATAATTAAGTGCTCATAGAAAGTGTGAAATAGTAATTAGACACCACTAGCATCATTAGTTAAATTGATCGCCTTAGTTATAACCATCTGACAGAAGTGATACGAGCTTAAGTGCTTGAAAATGACTTTGTTTATAACTTAGTAATGAGCTTAGATGACTGACCCTCCAACATGGAGATTTCAGCCATGGGACTAATGATAATAGGCATACTCAATTTCGGTACTGCCATGTGAGTTCTGTGCAGTTTTTTAGTGCGTAATGACTCCACGATATCCTACCCGGCTGTAAAGCCATAACGCTTCCTGATTCTGTGCATATATACACAGCTATTCAATTACCCACTGTGTATTGCGTAGGTGAAAATCGATAGCTCTCATTCTTACTAATTGGGTTTATTGGGTTTCATGGAATCGTTATATACGGAAGTATCACAATTTTCTGCTTTCCGATTGGGTGGTCAAGTATCGATTTTCAACTATGGGGAGTTGAAACAAGTGGAGGTAATAATACCAAATATTGTCTTTCTCATAAACGTCAAACACGCAAACTTGAGCAACATTTTGTGAAAAAATCTTAACTTTATGAGCGAGTGCTTTTTATTAGTTGGTTCTAAGCACTTTTAAGCTTCATTAAATTTAATTAATAGTCAAAAAAATTGTTAAGAGGAAGATTTAAAAGGTAAAGAAGATGAGAAGGGGCATTTAAGAGCTTTTAATTTGCTCCCTATTAAAGCCATAGTTATTTGCATATAACTATGACTAAAACTGACGACATATACCTCAAGGTATTAATTAAAGAGAATTTGTATGTGCGGTTTGGATATAGGCTATCTGATTAACAAAACTTGCAATGACGGCTTCTCTACAGATAGTCTTGCAAAAGGGTTTCCAATGACCGATACTTCAATGCACAGGAGATGGGGAATTAGAGTTTCTTTTTAGAACAACAAAAATATTTGATTTGGCAATCGAACAGTAGGTTTATAATAAAGGAAAAGTAAACATACGGCTAATTTGGTATGCTAATTAAGTAATTATGTATCCTAGAATGATGGTTTAGCATGTAGTGATATTTTTAACTGCTCATAAGCTGCAATGAGCTGAGGGAAAGGGATTTCGTAAAAATTACAATGAGGGATGGGAGAAAATGAGCTGTATATATCTATATGTTTGAACCTTACCATATCTTATTAAAATTATTTCTTTGTCAATTTAGTGCCAAACACACCAGTCACTCAGCTCTCGCCATATCCTGTCAATCCTCTGGTTTGGATAGGACATATAACACCGTTTCTTCATTGAGAAAAGATATATTCCCAGATAATCAATCCCAAAATTCTCCATCATCTTCAATTGACTATGTACAATCTCTCTTTCCCTATCAAATTGTATGTTATTTTATACGAAACATGATTGCTACTTATGACATTTAAATAGCATTTATTTATTTTACTAGAAAGAGCAAGGAATGCGATCTTACGGTCGGCCAAATTACTCAAGACACGGGAGTGTCTCTTTCGAGAAAGGCAATCATCCAGAAAAACTCTGTCAACTTCCACGATTTTTTCCTGTTCAAGATTCCCATTCAAACTTTGCATACGTCTATACTGGTTGCCATTCATCTCAGTTCTTCCAGTCCAATAGACCAGTACAGTATGCGAATTCATCAACACAGAATTACCCCTCCCAATCTCCGGCTTATACCTCACAGACGCATTTTAATTTCAAGTCCAACAATTTTCCCCGAGGTGTACGAATAATCTCCGAACTGGAACAATTCACTAGTCCCCCCAAAGCTCAACAATTGACCTTGTCGGAAATGACTGCGACCCCAACTGGTTCCAGGCCACGATTCACCTTGGCGGACAAATTGAATATGTGCACAATGGCTCCCACAACCAATTCCAATTCTTTCTATTGAACACCTTAGCTAGTTACTTTCGATATATTATTTTTTCAGAATGATTTTTATCAGTAATTTGCAATCCACAAGTCATTTAATAAGATATGACTGAAAATGAATTGATCTTGACTTAGAAATCTCGGTTTATAAAGGATTCAATACCAATCCGTAATTATAAGAAACTCTATAAATAGCATTTTATTTTCCACTTTCATGTTTAACTATAGAAACTGTTTTCTTAAGGGTCTATATCAAGGAGCTGAACTAGATGATGATAATATGTAGTTCACTAAGGGGGTAGATTATGAAATCAAAATGGCATGAGTTTTAATATTTTGTACTGGAACCGTTGAGTTTGCCACTTTTTCACAACGAGTGTAACCCACTTTGTAATATGCGAGGGTTCTAAATCCCAATTCTTATATTTCAATCCGCAGGTTTCTGGGTGACTTCATAACATTTTGTACGAATATACGATTTCATGTTTTCCATTGCCTTACCAACATGGATGGCAAATGGATGACGGAACTAGATGATGACTAGAAAATTTGTCCATCAAATTTTTCAGATTCAAGTTCTATTTTACCAATCAGTTACAACCATAGAATACATAAGTAGGTTAAACTGGCATTCTCACTGACTACCAATGACGTATTTATTGGCATACACATCAACGTGAGAACAGACCAAACCAATGAGAAGCATGGACTCCAGATTCAATGCTGAGTTAAATGAATTTGGGAACATGCTCGCCTCCTCGCACCCTATAATGCTTTTAGCTGACAGTTCAATCGTTAGGCTTATTCATTCCACACTGGGTGGAAATTTTGTAATACTTTTCAACAAATACCTATTAAACAGCACACAACCTGCAATCATATATTATTTTCAAGACCAAGGGATGCGCGATAGACTTCCCTTCACGTGGTGCATCCTGGGCAACGTATACTCATACGGCAAACAAGTCTATTAACCGGTAGTTGACTTCTCACTTCAAACTACCATGACCTGACTCCGTGTCATATTCGATCATTTCCGCAGTATTCACCTCACCTTTTTTCTACCTTTGTGTCTGTCTCTTTTACATCTTTGAAACACTCTCCTGCCCCCCCCCTCACGAATTGTTTTCACTTTGATGTGAAGCCTGAAGTCACCTAAAGGGCTAATGATAACTATCAAAATGCCTCAAATTTGATATAATAAATAAACTCCAGTTCTCCATTAGTAATTATCGAATAATTTCCCGATTTTTATTTTTCTTTATTTTCATATTTGGAATTTCTCAGCTTAAGAGGCAAGTTGGTTAAAAAGGAATTGCATACAGCGGATAATTTGTAATTGGGCCAAACCGACGGAAACAAATAACTTTTAATGTGAGTGAGGGCAAAACATGCTTATTAGCTCCTGACAAGCTTTGGATCCGTGGGTTGAATTCAGTTCATTCATATTTTATTAATTCAATTTGAATGTGCCTTCCTTTATCACTTCATAAAAAGCTTAGTTTGCCGGCTACTAAGAATGGCGATATTCTTACCATTTAGCCTTAATATTGTTTATATCAAATGGTAGGCATTTTTAGTTATCATTAGCCCCTTTAGTTGACTTCAGACCTCACAGAGCGAAAAAAGTCGAGAGGGGGGAGGGAACAGAAGAATATTTAAAAAATGTTAAAGAGACAGACACAGAGGTAGAAAAAAAGGCAAAATGAGTGCTGTGGAAGTGATAGAATATGGCATACAGTGGGGGGTGATGGTAGTTTGAAGTCAGAAGTCAACTGCCGTTTTATAGACTTTTTTTGCCGTATGAGTATACGTTGCCCAGGGTGCACCACGTGGAGGTAAGTCTATCACACACCCCGCCTTAATATTGTGGTTTTCGATAAATTCTTAGTCGTGCCAATAATTTGCCCCACATGAGTGTCGCAGAGGGCAGGTCTTAGCTTATTATCAACTGATTGGTGGCGCATTGGTGCGCGTCTATCGATTTTGCATGGAAGAAAATTAAAAATTTGTAAAGAGGGGGGGGGGGGGTTGGGAAGGGGGAGAGAATTTTAAGCACCGAGAAATGGAGATTTAATTCCCTTTTTCCCTATTATTCTGCCCTACGATATTTAGATCTGAATTGGAATAGTCATTTACCGAAAGTTTGACCCATTTTAAAAACCCTTTTTGGCATATATTTAAATTAATATTTGAATAGAAGTGCAACGTTTGACAACATGTTTTCGTTGCTGAATTTTGTAGACATTATGTTAATTGTTCTTGACATTCATTCTGCAGAACATATTTTCTAATTTTTAAGGCAATTGAAGGATACACTTATTCCAAGTTCCTTAAAATGATCATATTTGTTTACCATATTAAGCCCCGATGTTTTGAATTATTAAGCAAGGAAAGATCATAAAAAATGAGATTATTACATTCTTTAATGATAATTGCGGCCTTATAGCATTACATCACGCATATAAAACTATTATTTCAAATTATTATTATTTACTACTTTTTACTAATGCAATCCATAGTATCGTGACGAAATCGAATTTGGTAATTAAATTTTTGCATCACATAAATACTCGAAACTAATTAATTATTTAAAATAAAGCAAAATATTGACGTTTTAATTTGATTGGCTACTTTATCAGAGGCAAGGTAACCGAAACATCATCCCCAGACACCAAAATGTTCAAAGATGCGTAGCACTTAAATCGAGTATCTTTAACGAGGAATCGACACGATGAATCATTATTGATCTAGTAAAAAAGGGGTTGCCCTTATAAATAGGAAAAAAAATATTTCAACTCGATCCCCTTAACTCCGAGAGGTTTAAGGTTTCAAAACTATCAACTTGAGTATTATGAGCGAACAACGTCAAAGACGCGCACTACAATAACTCTCATCTGCATTTTCGCTGTTTACTCAAGGCTATTTTATGGAATCTGTAGGCTTGAGTTTTGTCATTTCCAATAATCCAGTACCCCCTGCGCAACTAACCAATCGGTATTCGAACATTTTATTGTCCAAAAATGCATCGTGTGCTTGAATACAGAAATCTTTTACGATTATGTTCAGTATGTAATTCTGAGAAGAGTATAATCAGCACAGGTACATTCTTGGCTCCTATGTAGGCAAGACACTCTACTTCCCATCTTGAAACAGGACATAAACTATTTCTTCTTTATGACTTTTAAGTCTCCGACGGTGAAAAAACTCGAAACGTTGACTGGTTCCCTTTTATCTACGACATTCACCTTCAAAAACCTTGGTAAACGCAAATCAAAATGAATATTATATTCCTCTGACTTGCCTTGCAATAAAGCAAAATAAACTTAGAAGTGACAGTCATGTATCTTGAATCATGGGGTGTGCGATAGACTTACCTCCACGTGGTGCACCCTGGGCAATGTATATTCATACGGCAAAAAAGTCTAATGACTGGCAGTTGACTTCTCACTTCAAACTATCATCTCCCCACTCTATGCCATATTCGAATATTTCACAGTACTCACCTCACCTTTGTTCTACCTTTGTGTTTGTCTCTTACATCTTTGAAATACTCTTCTGTTCCCCCCTCCCCTTATCGACCTTTTCAATTTGATGTTTCTTCCCCTCTGTGAAGCCTGAAGTCAACTAAAGGGCTAATTATAACCACCAAGACGCTTGCCATTTGATACGAATTAATAAATAAATAATCTTGAATCATCTATTAATAAATCCCTTATTTAGTTAAACAGGCATAATGTGGTATAATATTCAAAATGACCTTTTGAAAATGATCATTCAAGAAACTTTCATTGTATTTAATGCCTATTCAAAGACTGGCACTTCAAATCATTTCTCTCTTTCTAAGGACCAGAAATAAGCTGACACTATGTTTTTCATTACCTAAATTCATCTTTATACTTCAGAAGCATCGTTATTATCGGTCGTGTCAAGCATATAACCTAACCTTCTGGGAAAATTGGCCAAAATATTGACGGACTTAAATTCCCTCAAGGCGAAGATACAAGTTCCAGCATGGGGTGTGCGATAGACTTACCTCCACGTGGCGCACCTTGGGCAACGTAAACTCCTACGGCAAAGTCTTTTATTCGGCAGTTGACTTATCACTACAAACTACCATCAGCCCACTGTATTTCATATTCAACTACTTCCTCAGTACTCACCTCACCTTTTTTCTACATTTGTATCTGTCTCTTTTACATCTTTAAAACACTCTTCTTCCTCCCCCCCTCTCGAAATTTTTTCCACATTGATATTTCTTCTTTTTTTGTGAGGCCTGAAGTCACCTAATAGGCTAATGAAACTATCAAAATGCCTGCCGTTTATTTACTTAACCGTTAACAAATTATTACTTGTGAATAAAAGAAAAGTTCATTTATGCCATAAATCGATCACATAAAATATGCTGCCCGTATGAGTATGCTACCGCCCACTTAAACATAAACCACTGGAATAAATAAATATGCCAATGAATAGGATGTTGACTTAATACTTCTTAACAAGCCAAACATTTCCAAACACTCTATTCCTCTTACGCTAAGGAAAGTCTTAACATAGCTCCTCCATAACCACGGATCTAAAAACACCAACATGAATATATAAATTCGGAAAAGTGATAGATGCGCTAGGGGGTAGGCGATAGACCTACCTCCTCGAGGTGAAACTCGATAGCGTATACTCATGTGGCAAAAAGTTTATAAACCGACAGATGACTTCTGATTTCAAACTACCATGACTCGACTGTATGGCATTCGATCACTTCCTCAGTATTGACCTCACCTTAACCTTTTCTCTACCTTTATGCCTGTCTCCATTACATCTGTGAATCACTCTTCTGTTTCCCCTATCCACTTTTTTAAACTTTGATGTTCCTCCCTTCCGTGAAACCAGAATTCAACTGAAGCGCAAATAATAACCATCACAGAGCCTGACATTTAATATAAATAAATAGTTGTGATAGACCAGAGGTTTATAAACCGATCGCAGAGGAAAGAGAAGGAAGAGTAAGAAAGAACTAGG